GTCCGCGCTCGATCTGAGATTTTGTGCAGGTTTCAAAACGCCTTTTCACTGTTGTACTAGCACGAGCTATTTCACGGGTGTGTTGCGAAATAAGAGAAGAGCTCCAGTAGACCCTTTCTTGGAATATTCATAATCTTCTTGAGTGTGGAACATCTGAAGAGAGGAAGCAGGGTTGTGGATACTGGGTTCCTAGTTTCTTGGTTTTGCTTGAGCGCCTTCAGTTTCATCCTTTTTGAAGAGCCCCGTTGTGACTTGTTGTGACATTTTGATGTCACCTTCGAGTTTTCTCGCTGAAGAGCCACTAACGCTCTTCAGCAAGAAAACTCGAAGGTGACATCAAAAATGCGGTCTCTTGAGACATCAAAACAAACCGAATTTAGCATATTTACACGCCCACTACTTAAAAAATTCTCCGTTGTGAGTGTGTTGTGAAAAATTTGTGACGACGCGAAAAATCCCCACCGCGTCGCAGTACCACTCCCAATTTGTTCGAAAATTTGAGTAACTTTCTGGAACAAACCTCGCCGTTGAAATCAAAGGGAACCTTTGATTCCTTTCACCGTTGATTACACCATCTCTATACTGCGACATGCACCCGACTACCCCGCAGAAGTGTTGGGAAGGTGTAAGCTCCACCGCAGGAGTGGGAGATGTGCTCCTGCGGTAAAAAAAGTCCATGTAAAATCGTGTTACTTTGTTTACCACTTCATGACACCTTTGTTGACGGCTACCGTGCTACTTGTCACCACCCATTCCCCACTTCTGAGCTTGCAACTTGCCTCTGTCTTCAGGTGTCTATTCGAGTTTTTTCGCAGCAAGAACCGTTAATAAATCCTTTATCAACGTGTGAGTGCTCGAAGGCACAAATAGCCATTGAGATGAGAGGGTAAGAGTGGCCTCATTGACGTATTAGGGTACGCAAACGCACATAAAACGGGAGATGCTGGTTCAAATCCCGCCCGTGATTTGACTTTTGCACACAACTCAACACTTTTGCGATAATCTTTCATTAGTCAGTGCTTATTCGACATCTCTGTCTTACTGCTCCACAAATTTTTGAGTGAGCCCTGCGCTCGATCGTTCGCGGTCAACCTGTCGCACATGACGGCATACCCTGGCTGGTGCCCCACCAAGTCAACAGCACCTGTAAGGGATTTCACTCATTATTTATAACCTTTTTTCAGCGAATCAAACCAACAATAAAGCTTGAAGATCACAATGAAGGAATGGTATAGCTCGCTATCATTCCCCCCGCATTCAGTGTGCACGTGTTTCCATGTGTTTTATGTGACCTTTGTGGTTACAGAGCGAGCTGAATAAATGTTTGTTTTTCTGGAGTCTCTATATGATATAGTCCAGCGGCCTCATCAAGGAACTTCGGGCCAGCGATGGCTCTCGCATATTTTCCAGATTTTCTTTGAGAACATCGTTATTGTCTTTTCCTTTGTCATAGTTTTGGGAGGTGCTAGCAGTGCTACACAGTGGGGAAAACGGAGAAAAAATGAAGTGAAACACCAGCAATTTCGGACGAGTTTCCCGTTGGCATCGTGCAGCACCGCAACCGCTTTACATCAAACCAGTCGCTTCATGTTGCACTTCGCAAATGAGCGTCTGGATCGGGTTGCAATTCGATAGAGCGCTATAAGGGTATCTTCTTTGGGGAAGGCACCACACAGCGCATGATCTGAGCTGTCGAATTCTGCCCGGCTAAGCCTATTATTCCTACACGTCTTGGAAATTTATCGAACCACCTGCCTCAAGGAGGCTGACCTATTTCATTTGCTCTAAATTTTTTTGGGTCTCTGCACCGAGTTTTGGAGAAAGAGGCTGTTTTCATTCGAATGTCAAAAACACGTTTGCGAAAGTATTCTCATGGTCAGGGTCAAATTCGGGAACGAGCAGTGACACCTTCGCAACCAGGACTCGCGATCAAAATCCTGAAAAGGGGGCTGAAATA